TCCACCATCAACAAAACGTAGGTATTGTGAATGAATAGTAGTAATATTTTTACTGACAGAGAGCACACACCCAACACCACATTTAAATTCACTTGATCCAGATTTTTATTTGGAACGTCATTCAATTACAAACGCTCATAAATATCAGTCACCTTAACATGCCGTATTTTCTTCATCAAGATTTATGATTATTGAGTACTCTCCGAGAAATAATGAAAATGTTCCTCACAATGTTAAAAAAGAGAAAAAAAATTCCTTGATCCGCCCCCTGATCTGGATCCACAGCAAAAGTTCCAAGTTTCCAATACTCAAAAACACTCAAGTTCTATTAGTTCTATTTGGCAAATTATTTACATAAAAGGTTTATAAATTAAGATTTTTAATCGAATTTGATCATGTGGGTGACAGCCTGAATTTTTCACAGAAAAGATTTTGGCTTGTCACAGCAGGAAAAACATAAACCATGACTCAGTTCCTTCCAAGTAAACCAGTAAACCATGACAGAGAGGCAGCGTGCGGAAACAACTCACCTAAAAGGAACGCAGTCAGTTTTAATGTTCAGAGCAGTACTTTCACTTTTATGCCATGCCAAAGACTCGGCCTGGAATTCTTCCTATCAGGTTCTACCAATCATCTGATCTGCCCAGAGATCCCAGCATCTACAGGAAAACACCTAAGGAAGAGCTGTCTATAATGCCACAGATGGTGAAGCTTGAATTGCCTAAAAGCTCAAAGTTTGCAGTCAATAAGAAATTTTCATTTTTCATATAAACTAGTAACAAGTAATCGTGGCTCAATTCTGTCTTTTTGCTCTCAGTTATCCTTAAAACAAGAAACTCTAAACGCTAATCTCCGTTACATATTTTATTTGATCAAGAATTAAGTAATTTGCAAAACAAGCCATCATTGGAGCCTCAGCTGGACTGATTTTGTTGCTGCACATGATCGTACAAACTCAAATAAATCTACTGCAGCCAAAACATGAGCTGAGGTTTCACATAAAACGTTTGACTTGCTGATTTTTTTGTCAGCTCCCGCAGACCGACAGTACAAGGCTTCACTTGGCAGCTCTAAGTGTGAACTGTGGTTCTGTGTGAATGTGAAGCAGGGTGGGTCTATAAAAAAACATGGTACTCTGTCAGTTTGACCTTGTTAGAGGTTTAAATACCTCCAAGTCTTCAATTTTCACTTTCATCAGGGTGGGGAGTTTCCACATTCACTCAACTATAAAAAATGTTCAATTTTCCCAGAAGCTGAATTATGACTCATCTCCAATAAGGGATCAAATCAGTCACATAAAACTTGACAGAATAAAATAAAATACTGTTTGATGTGCACATAACTGATGATATTTGAGAATCATCCAGAACTGAAAGGCATCCAATTCCTGCTTTGCCTCGAGGGACCACAGAAATGAGTGTTGCCGAATGTCTGTGGCTTTTTAGCGAGGAGCATCACTGTGTATGTGTGTATGTGGATGTTACACATTCCTCCTCAAATACTGGGCAAAAAAAACCATTTTCATCTAATCAGATTCAAGATTCATTTAGTGAGATGGTAAATCGAAACTGACTGGAGAACTGGAGAAGGGAAACACAGTAAACTACTGTAATAGACAGTTTGTAAGGACTGCACACAGAAAAAAACTGAGAATCGACTTATCTGCAACATGCAAAGTGAGAGGCAAGAACTGAAGCCTGGGAGCTTAGGGAGACTTTCTGCTGATCATAATTTGTTGAGGGAACATTTTACGAAACCCTCCACCTTTGATCCTTTGTTTTAACAATGCATTGACAAGGTTTTCAGACTGAGAACAAAGTTATAATATTATAAGATATATGACAACGGCACTGCTGCACTTTTGCCTTTTTACCACAAGATGTCAGACTGCTCCTAAACCTGCCCTCTGCAATTCATTGTGGGACTTAAAAAAAGTTTTGGAAAACATTTCAGAAATTAAGAACATGTTCTACATGGGTTTTCTTTGGAGGTTAAAAAACAGAGGTTAAAAAAAAGTTTATTGAGCCTTTAAATTGTTTTTTAAGGGTTTAGGTTTCTCTAACTATAAAGGAGTCACCAAGCATCTTTTACTCCCTGTGTTACCAGAGGTCTTTTCTAGGTTCATCAAGTGGGTTCCTGTTTTTTTCCTCAAGGTTCCTCAAGAACTCAATGGGCAACCCATTTTTTCTTGAGGGCGTTCTCATTATGGTGTTAGGGGGTTCATTGAACGATAAATGTGGAAGTGTCAGGAGTCTTTTAGGTTCAAAAAGTCTATGAACTTCTTGAAGAAGTCACGCACATTGCTTAAAAATGAAAAACCTTTAAGGAATCACCCTCAGAGAGACTGTACCACTGTTAAAGACACCAGGAGACATTATAGGGTCCTTACTTACATGCAATATTGAACCCCAGCAGGTTTGCTCATTGCTAATTTAGTTTCTTTTCTTTTCTTTCTAAATCTGTATTTCATCTAATACAATCTGTGGTGACATAAAGCTGCGAAAGACAAACTGAAATGGTGCATAAAATAATTAAAGATCCTTCCTGTCCACATGTGGACAGGAGAAGTAAGGCATGAATCCTGTCTTGCTGCTGATGGCCAGCACAGGTCCCCTGGTGAATGTGCGACCAAGATTTAAATCATTCATAAGTCCAATCTTATGAGCATTAACCATTTGGACCTCAGAAACGTGTTACTTTTTACAATTGAGGAGAAATGAAATCAATAGCCAAAGCCTACTATCAAATGCGTTATATTCATATTCTCTGTGTTGAGCTGAGGATGGATATAAACTGGTCCTGAGGGCAGACGCAGATTTGTTAAAGAGACAACAGCTCGTTTTAACTGAGCAGAAATATTCTACAGTGTTGTATTTGGTGTTTTTGCAAACTTTATCAGCACCATCGTCCCCTGTCCATCGAACAATGTTTCTGTGCCTCCTCTCTGGCCAATTAGTGGAGGAAAAAAGCTCCAAATGCAAAGATTGGCTTGGTTGCCGTGGCAACATGATTTTCCCCCCACTGTTGACGCAGGTGATGTCAGCAAAGTCTCGGGTATATTATCCCAGTATTGGTGTGAGCGTGTGTGTATGTGTGTGTGTGTGTT